ACATACAGTATATATGTATAATATATAATATATAATACATAATTATAATGTAAAATAGAATATATAATTAATATATAATATATGTATATTATATGTGTGTGTAATATATAGGTGATATGTAATACTGTACATATATAATATGTATAATATATTACATATAGAATATATAAGGTGTATTTATATTACATATGACAATAGATATTGACTATATATATATATATGTGACTTTTTGTTAATTTGCCAAATGTTCCATGTCTTTGCTCTTTGAACATAGTGGAGGAAAAATGGACTTGTATAAGTAGCTAGCCTTAACTGTGTCAGCTTTTCTATGGCTCAGCTGATGGGGAAGTAGCACCACTTTATGCCTCTAGAGGCTAACTCCTGATTTTTGTGTTTGAGTACATGGGAGGGCAACCCACACACTAGCCTTTTCCCACTTCTGCTTCTCACCTGTCCACCTGACATCACTATGGGCTCGATCATGCCTACTATATGTTAAGAAATGACGTGTGACAATTTAGTCTTTGTCTTTATTTAATTCTTAAATTTGCTGCAATTTTAGACTTACAGGACAGTTTACAAAGATAGTACAGAGAATCCCCATTTAGTCTTCATTGAGCTTCTCCTAATGTTACCATCTAACCAAACAATTACTGAAACCAGGAAATTAATATTGATATGATGCTATTAGCTAAATTCAGACTTTAATTGGGTTTTCCCAGTTTTTCTAGTAAAGTTTTCTTTCTGTCCCAGTATCAATCCAGAATCCCAAATTGCATTTAGTTGTCATGCCTCCTTAGTCTCCTCCAAACGGACCTTTTCTGTCTTAATGCCTTGTGTAACCTTGATATGTCTGAAGAGTACTCATTAGGTATTTTGTAGAATTTCCCTGGGTTTAGATTTCTCTGTTTTCTCAGAAGAACATTGAGGTTATGGATTTTTAAGAAAAATCTCACAGAGGTGATGTACCCTTCTTGGCGTGTCATCTCAGGGGCACATAATATCTATATGTCTTATTATGGGAAATGTTAACCTTGATCACCTGGTTAAGGTGGTGTCTGCCAGGGTTCTCCACTGTACAGTTATTTTTCCCTGTGTAATAAATATTGGGAGAGGGGGAGTCATACTTTGATGCTACAAAAAAATCCTGTTTATCCTTGATCTTTGCATCATCAGTGGATCTTGCCTACAGCAATTATTATTGTGCTGTTTTAATGGTGATTTTTTACTTCCTTTGTTTCTTCTACATTTAATTAGAAATTCTTCTCTAGGAAAGGGTTCTCTTGATTTATTTGTTTATTCAATCATTTAAATCTGGATGGGCTCATCAATACTTATTTTGTTCTTTGGGCTATTACCTAATATTATCACTGTTAATTTTGTTGCCCAAATTGTTCCAAATTTCACCATTGTGAAGTTATTCTAGGTCCTCTCAGGAGACAGAATTAGGAAGTATACGTTTCTGTTTATACATACTTAACCTATATTTCTATATTTCTTTGTGTGTGTATGTGTGTGCACAAATGAATCTATACTGATACCTCAGACTGTAATTCAGAACAACAGGGTTCATTCTAGAAATGTCCCCCTTTGCTTATGTGTAACTTCTTTCTCCAACAGTTTCTCCAGAGAAACCTGGTCTAATCTGTCTATACTGTATTTACTTATTTTTCCAATTTAAGTTGTCCAAATTCAAAATTTGTCCAGTTTAATATACTTATATATTATCTATAATATATTTATTTATTTGTCTAATCCTACAATACATGTGTTGTAGTTTCGGAATTGCTAACCCTGTGGGCAACTTACCAAAGTGTTTGTGTACAATTATTTCTGTTTAGCCTTACAGTATCCACTGCTTTTAACTAAAACACTGCTTTTAAAAATCATTGGGTTCAGGTTTCAGTTCCTTTTGGTGAGGTTATGTGATCCATTTGTACCACACCTAGATTCATTTCTCACAATCTGTGTTCCATTTTGGGTTCCTCCAACAATCTAGTTGATTTTAATTTGCAAGGAGTAAAACTCATTCTTTTTGGTGTACAGTTTGCTTATATTTTATTGAGTATCTCTTTAAAAAAAAGATTATTTATTTATTTATGTTTTTAGAGAGAGAGCATGGGGAGGGGGGAGGGGCCTGGGGAGGAACAGAGGAGGAGGGAGAGGAGGAAGGGAGGAAGAGTGAGAGAATCTCCAGCAGATTCCACACTGAATATGGAGCCCGACTCAGGGCTCAATCTCATGAGCCTGAGATCATGACCTGAGCTGAAACCAAGAGTCAGAGGCTCAACCAACTAAGCCATCCAGGTGCCCCTTATTGAAAATTTCTGTGTCTGTGTTCATGAGAGATATTGGTCTGAAATTTTATTTTTTTGTGTTGTTTTTGTCTGGTTTTGGTATCAGAGTAATACTACCCACATAGAATGAGTTGGGAAGGGTTCCCTCCTGATACCTGGAAGAATTTGTACGATTGGTATAATTTCTTCTTGAAACGCTTGGGAGGGTTTATCAATGAAGCCATGCGGGCCTGGGTTTCTCTTTATGGGAAGACTTAAAATGACTAATTCAATCTTGTAGGTCTACTAAGGTTTCTAATTCTTCTTGAATCAGTTTCTGTAATTGGTATCTTTCTGGGAATCTGCCGGTTTCATATCAGTTGTCTAATGAGTTGGCATAAAATTATTCATATTTCCTTATCATCCTAATATCTGTAAGGTAGAAAATGATGCCCTCTCTTCCATTTCTAACTTTATGCCTTTTCTCTGTATATCCATCTGAATGTCTCCTATTCTACATTCTTGCTTTCCTTTTGGTCAGTGTGGCTAAAGATTGGTCAATTGTGTTGATTTCTTAAAGAAATCAAATTTCTGGTTTTTACTTCCTCTGCCATTTTGCTGTTTTCTATGTTTATTGATTTAGTTCTTATTTAATTCTTTCTGCTTCCTTTGGGATTAGTTTGCTCTTCTTTACAAGTTTCTTAAGATGGAAGATTAGGGATTTGAGACCTTTCTCTTCTAATTTAGGTATTTTAAGCTTCAAATTCCCCCTTTATTGGCATTAGAAAAATGTTGATGCTATGTTTAGATAACATTCAGTTCAATATATGTTCTAATTTCTGTTATGATTTTTTCTTTGACCTTTAGTTTAGAAGTATGTTCTTCAATTTCCAAATATTTGGGGATTTTTACACATTTCTTTCTAGTTTTGATTTATAATTATATTCCACTGTGGCCTTATACCTACATTTAATGATTTCAATCCTTTTAAATTTGTTGGGACATTTTTATGGCCAACCATATGCTCTATTTTGGAAAGTGTTCCACAGTCAACTGCTATTTGTGGGCAATGTTCAATCAATGTCAAGTCAAGTTTTTGGACAGTGTTGTTGAAGTCTTTTTTATTCTTATTAATTTCCTGTCCAATTTTTCTATCAGCTATTAAGAATGGAGTCTTAAAATACTCAACTATTAGTTGTCTTATTGTCTATTTTCATTATGAAATGTCCCTCTTTCTCCCTTGTTTTTTTTTTTTTAAGATTTATTTTAGAGAGAGCACATGTGCATGAGTGGGGGAAAGGGCAGAGTGAAAGAATCTTCAAGACTTCAGACTCCCCACTGAGTGCAGAGCCTATCCTGGGGCTCAGTCTCACAACTCATGAGATCATGACCAGAACCCAAACCAAGAGCTGGATGTTCAACTGACTGAGTCACACATGCACCCCACCTCTTTTTCCCTCATAGTATTTTTAGCCTTAAAGTCAGCTTTACCAAATATTGCTACAGTTACTCCAGCTCTTTTATGGATACTGTTTGCAATTAATATCTTTTTTCCATTCTTTTACTTTCAACTTATTTGTATATTTGAATCTAAGCTGGGTCTCTTAGAGTCAGCACAAAGTTGAGTCTTGCTTTTTAAAATCTAGGCTCTGGGGGCACCTGGCAGCTCAGTAGGTTAAACCTCTGCCTTCAGCTCAGGTCATGACCCCAGCATACTGGGATCAAGCCCCACATGGGGCTCCCTGCTCAGCGAGGAGCTTGCTTCTCCCTCTCCCTCTCCCTCTGCCTGCTGCTTCCCCTGCTTGTGCTCTTTGTCTGATAAATAAATCAAATCTTAAAAAAAAATAA